ATGTCACAGCGTTACACTGTTTCAGAACACTGCTTACTCAGCAATTGTCTGAGTAACACTAACAGGCGGCGAACCAGCAGCATAGCACAGTCGGTCTACCAGCTGTCTGGATGGCATTGTAAGGGCAACCCTGGAGACTCCGACGAAAGCCTAGCAGGGGAGGATCCAAGACGTGAATAAAAGCTACAGGAAATACACGGAGGGACCGACCTAGCAGGGGAGGATCCAAAGAGAAGAAACTCTAAGGGTCTGCCTGCTAGGGCGCCAACTATATACTGGTCGTCCGTAACTGCCGACGTAGGCGCAGAAAGCCTGAGCTGAGCGGCGTTGCAGGCTCTGTCCCAAGGTGATCGTTGGGAGGGTCTTGACGGATCAGTGATTGTGCGGGCGAAGGAGGCCGAGGACGAGGTTGGGGTAGGTCGGAGCGTCCGAGGGGCGCCGGTCGGATGTGCCTCGGATGCGCTCGGATGGTCTGAAGGAGGCAGGAGTGGGGTTCCCCTGACAGGCATATGACTATGGTCAGGCCCAGTTTCAATGGGCCTTGAAGTTAACTTGAGCTTAGGTTGGACTTGCACCAACTCCAAGCCTCAAGACTGGTCTGGTGTGATGCGTGACATCAGGTATCAAAAGCTTTGGCTTGGGCTAGCACCGTCACGTGGGGAGTTCAATGTTGAGTCGTGGTGATTATTTACTTGCTTGCTTGCTTGTGTGTGTGGGGAGCTGGGGGAGGGAATACTGACCCATTTCGATCAATTCAGCGGGCCTGTGACCCGTGACCATTTGGCCGAAATGTCCATTCGGCCACAGGCCGAATTTCGCGTGACCTATTACCCGATTGGGAAGTTCGGCGTGCCGCAGGCGCTGAAAATTTCGAAATCTTCCCGATTAGGACAGTTTGGGACCAAAAGATTTGGCTGTGACCCGTGACCCGCCGAAATATTTCGGCCAAAAAATCCGATGTGACCGTGACCCGCCTAATTGAATGAAATAGGTCAGTATCCTACACTGATCTGGAAGTCGCAGGTATTGGCCCTTGTTGCGTCACTGCCTCCGCGTCTTCCGTCCACACTTAAAGGGCTCAGTGTGATGGGAAGGTCATCCCGGCAGTCCGACGCGGACACAGTGATTGCGCCCGAACGCGAACTTCGCGGTGCCCGACCCGACAGGCTGCTGGCGCAGTTGCGCTCACGCTGCCCGTCAATGCATCATATCATGATTGAGGTTCCGCTCCTGCAGCTGAGGTATTAGACCATGCCCATATGCACATCTCTTTGTAAAAATCCACGAGGCTCTTCAGTGCTGATCTCAGTGGATCACTGGGCATTGGAGTGAAGGAGACAGATGATGGTGTCCGACTCGGACACAGACAGGCTACGTGTGGAGCTAGCTCCGCCGCTGGTATCTGTCGCCGCACGCGGGGACCATTGATGCATCCACACATTAATTTGGCAATTAAGCAGCTCAAGGCACATAAGACGCTCTCCCGGGGCTAACGAACAGCGTCCCTGGCAGGAGACGAGATGCAGGACCCGGGACCAGTCCGGTGCCCCACCGGCGTCAACAAAACGGTACGCAGGTGGGTCCCCATCCGCGACGCACCTGCCCGGCGGGCTGAGGAGTGCGCCGCCGCGCCGCGCGGACGGCATGTCCGTGATCCCGCAGAACATGGGCCGCGGGATAGATGCTTGAGGGTCGAATGCAGATGCAGTATGGTGGAACACACTGTCGGTTGATCAGTGCTTTCAGAAGACCGATAAGGTGGAAGAGCACACTGAGCATTGGAGAAGTATACAGTGCGGCTTCTCCGAGGTCAATCTGCTGCGCGCATCATTTGGAGGCGCTAATGGACAGCGTTGTTGCCCACGGGCTGCATCGCATGAATACCGGTGCAGAGTGGAGGAATAAAGATAGCGCACTGCTTTGCGCAAACAGCCCATGTCCGTGTTGTTGCTCCACCGCTCCAGAACATCTTGATGAAGACGCCAATGACGTCAGGGCAGCTCGAACACGCCTCCGAGTTAGGATGCTCTTCAGCGGCGCGTCGTCGAAGTTGATGTCGATGCCGGTCGGCAGCTAAGATCGTCGTGGGGAAGCTGACGCGGCCGCAGCGATAGCATCCACGGCCCGGCCACAGTTGGGCATAAGCCAACCGCAGCGCGGCGGCCACCAATCCGCGCGAATCGGTAGCCTGGCAGGCGCCTAGTGTGATATTGTGTCAGGTGTACGGATTATCCTCCATAGCGCTGAGGCGGATGGCAAGCAGCACCACGGGGCACGATCGTCTCCGGATGGCCAGCGCGCAGACCCGTTAGCGTGAGCTTTCAAGTTGCGTCGACGTTTGATTTGCCAAGTCCGGACCCACAGAGTCGGAATCGATGCCGGTGTAAGTCCTGTGTTAGCAATTTCGTCTCAGCGGAGAGTCTCAATACAGATTTAGACTCTCGAATAAGTTGGCATCCAGAGAAGGAGTTGTTGGGGCATGTGTATCGGCTAGTGTTGCGTAGATCTGCCCCTGAGGCTGGCATTTTGCATCGAGACGAGTTAATTCGTGTCCTCGACAGTGCTGTTGCACACACGCTGCATAGTTATTAGTATAAATACCGGACCGGAGTGGAGGAACAAATCCGAAGATGACCACTCTCCAGCGGCAGGTCCATATGCTGGAAGATGATGATCATTGTCGATGTGCGCAAGATGGTGCTGACCGAGTTGGGCGTCAGGAAGCTGAGGTGGCTGCGGCGCGGGCATCAAAGGACTGCCAGTGGTTGGGCACAAGCCAAGGTCCAAGCTTGCAGCGGAGGAGAATCCAGTATGGCCCAGACCACATTTTGCATACCGCGGGCAGCGGTCCAAGTTCGGTTGGGAAATCCGAGGCAGTTGCTAGTATTCCTGCTCGGGTAGAGCATACGGTCGATTTGATGACTGGTGTCTGAAGACAGAGAATAAGCTAGGATAAGAGTGGGCTTGTAAAAAAGGTGCGCTCGGTCAGCGATGTCGGGAAAGCGAGGACAGCGTAACACGCCAGGCAAAGATCTCCAGCAGCACAGTGTCACCACAGATTTAGACTCCCGGAGAAGTTGGCGACTGGAGAAGGGGTGGTTGGCGCATGCGTATCGGTTAGTGTTGCCGTAGCATTGCGCCAGCTGGCGCCGCAGGTGTGCTGCAAAGGCTGGCATTGTGCGTCGAGATGGGCGTCAGGAACAAAAAGGGAGGCGATTGCGTAAGATGTGACTGGGCGATCACATCATGATTAGCTCCGCGCCGGGCACGCCGATTGGCTGGGCACACGTGTGCGCTGTCAATATGTGGCAGCGCTTTCCTCTCTTCACTTCCAGCTTGGCTGCAACTGGTCGCTCCATGTTTCCGAACGAACTCTTTCACGAAGTGCTCAAAGATGTGTCGCCCGCCCAGCTCAAGCTCGTCGCTCTTGCTTCTCGTCGCCTGCGCCTGCTTGCCCGCCCATTCCTCTACAGCAAGCTTGCCGTGAAGCCATATGCGCCCGCGGAGGAGCGCATTGCCTGGTCAGGCGGCGCCATCCTTAAGCTCCCACCTGCTCATGAGGTGGTGGATGCCATCGCAAAACTGGCCTTCTTCATGTCCCCCCGCCATTGCGCCGTATGTGCACTGCATCAATGTCGCCTGGGAGGAAGTGAATGGCTTCGCCGAAAGAAGCAGAGACGCAGTATTCAACGATGTAGCCGGCACGCACACCATCTGTGACGTGCTATTCGCCGGCATCTCCAAGTTCGTTAACCTACGCAAATTCTATGGCCACAGTCTCATATTCACGCTCTCTGCGCTCGCCAACCTTGCGCAGGTCCGCGGCCCGATTGAGCTGGATCTCTTTGCCTGTTCTGTGGACTCCGAGATCCAGGCATTCCTTCGTGCCGCTATTAACGCACTCGACATCCGTATCCGTGTCTCAAGCGTCAAAGTCGCCACCTCGGCAGCATACAGTCCCACGTGCACGCTCTCAGAATGGTTCGCGCTCTTTGAGCCCATCACACTCTCCGCGGTCAGCCTGGACATGGATCAACCAGTGGAAGGGCTTACGAGTGTGCTACCTCACGTAAAACACCTGGCGCTTAGACTCTCCGAGGGCTGCGGCGCGCGTTGCTAACCTACTCTGGCTGTGTGCAGCTGCAAGCGGCCTTTCCCGCAGTTGAGCAGCTTAGTGTCGAGGCGGCACTCTATGTGGACGATCCGGGGCTGCCGTGGGATGGCCCTAACGGCGGCGAACCGTTGTTTCCCGCTGTATTCAAGCTCACGACCACGTATGAAGCCAGTGAAGCTTTACCCCTCCTCCTGCGGATTGCACCGTCTATCCACACATTGCATGTCGAAAACGCTGATGCCACAAGCTTAGTGTCCGTGCTGCAGCGCAATAGGCAGTGCATCCCCGTGACAATCACGACACTCACCCTCGAATGCGACTCGGAGGACGGCGATCTTGCCGTGTGGGGCGCGGTCTTTGCACATTTTCCGCACCTGCATACCCTCGACTTCACCGTAACGATGCTGTCCGGACGCGTGCCCGCCCGTAAGTGAATGTCTCCTAAGTGTCGTCATCCGAACTGTGCCCATACCCTACTCAATACTATCACAGCCTGCCGCCTTCCTCACGGGCTTCCCGGCTAGTCTTCCCTTGGGTTTGCAGCGGCTCAAGTCAAGTACTCGGACACGAGTATGTTCTCTCGCCGTGGCCCCGGAGCGGTTCCTCGTCCGACACCTTGGTGATGCAGACAGGACAAGTGCTACGGAGGCAGCTGCTTCGCCGTTGCCCCAATCTGAGCTGGATTTCGATACTTGCACCACCCTTCCATCTCAACCTCCAGTGGACAAAGGACGCATAATCATGATATAGACACATACGAATTGAGCACACCAGATCACAAAAGATATTCAATATTGATAAACGAGAGAATGAGTGGCATTTGTATTCTTCCTTACTTGAGCTGATCTTGTGGTCAAAGGAAAGATAGGGGTGATATTGCACCGAGTCAAAGGATGCCCTGATCCAGCGGCGGGCGACCATACGTCTCCTACACCAACATCATTAGTGCATTATCCACCTCATCATTGGATAGAGAAATACGCACCGGCTCCTGCGGGTGGTTACCCAACACAGCCTCGATCCGCGCCAACACCGCAGCATCCAGCTTGGGCAGGACCTCAAGCGCGCCGAGGTTCGCCTCGAGCTGTGCGACGGAGGACACGCCGAGGATGACTGTGGAAGTGTGGCGGTGCGCCGCAACCCACGCGGCGCCAGCGCGGTTCCGCCCAGAGTTCAGCAAGTCGGGGAGAAACGACGCACCCGCAGCAATTTGGCTGAGGAGACGCACTTTCCAAAGCAGCTCTTCGCCCTGGGGACCCTCCGTCGCCCCGCGGAACATGGGCACGGTGGCGGCGCGTGCCGTCTGGGATGCCGTCGTTGTACTAGCAAAGTTAGTTTACGTGTTAGAGGGTTGAGGAGGATATACCTTCCCCGTCAGCAGTCCGCCCTGCAGTGCAGAGAATGCGGTTGTGCCCAGGCCGTACCTGGCGTACAAAGGGCTACAAAGTCAGCATTAGCTACTGCTGAAGTTTGATGGTTGCCCACGCACGCCGTATTCCTTCTCCGGACGTTCGCGGTGGAACATGCTATCGTCTCCTCAGCATTATTTCGAAGGAAGAAAGAAGATGGCGCAGACTTGTGCTTGCACTGCTCCGCGATCGGCGCGATGAGGTTTAAGCGCGTGGCAACATCTGTGCTGCGGGTAAGCGACGGGAGGTCTCGGGAGAGGTACACGCTCACGATGCGCCTCCTCGATCTGGTGCGCTCCACTCGGAGGTGCCCCAGTAGAAAGCCTGCGTGTGAATCTTAGTGGATATGGATAGACAAAATCCACCACTCACCCAGCCCTGGTCGATAACATAGTTAAATGCGCGGACGATCTCCTCCATCGGAACTAGCCTGCGTCAGTTGACCTCCTTATGGCGAATGTAAGAAACCCACCGGTGGTATCGCAACGATGCGCGAAGATGACGTCGACATAGTCCATCTGGAGCCGTCGCAAACAAGCCTTCGTGCCCTCGATAACGCTGTTGCCAGTCAGAGTTGTAGGAAGGAAAGGAAGGTGGCGCACTGTTTGTGCGACAGCCCCGTGTCGTTCGGGCCCGTGCCTGGCTCGTGGCTCCAGAATATCTTGGTTGAGATGACGAGGTCCGTGCGGCGCCAGCCAAGTTCTTTGATAGCGTGTCCCCTGATTTTGCTGGAGTCAGAGAAAGCGTGGTCAGAAGGGAATCTCAGGGAACGCACATTTCGCGCTCAGCCGCACCTTTCTGGTAGTCCTCCGCGGTGTCGAACATGTTGATCCCATTCTCGAAGGCGGCCTGCATGATGTCCTTGACGCTCTCGCCGACGACGGAGCCTCCGAGGGTGAGCCCTGTCGAGAGCTCAGCTAAAGCCAATGGGGAATGCGCAAAGACGGACAGCCGCCGAGAGAGAAGAGCGGCACGCGCAGACCGCTGGGGCCCAACCGGCGGAAGGGCATCGCTTTTGCGTCGAAGACGGGGACTGGAGAGGACATGGGGGCAGGTGGAGAGGAGTGGAATGGGAATCGATTGCAGCGTCGGCGAACGGGCCGGTGGTGTCTGCGGAAGGCGGAGCGCCGTCGGTGGGGGCAGTAGACCTATTAGTGAAATGAGCGATTGGCTCTGCGTGATGAGCAAGACATGGGTAACGCACCGTGAAAAACTTGAACACGCGTGCTTACTATCAGGACCCAGTTACGCGGACGAAATAGCACACGCACCTTGTCCCCGCCTTCGGTTGTGCCCTGCTGCTTGCCATCCGGGCCGTCCGCGGCTGATTTCACGCCGCTTGTTTCCGCCCAGTAGAGGCCGCCACCCTGGGTGTCAGACTCGCCAGCGAAAAGTGAGGGATTACTGGGGAGTAGATCAGCGAAATAGAGACTGAATGCACAACACGCACCTCAAGCCACGCCAAATCGACCGTCGCAGCCCATCCCTGCTCCTACTCGCGCTGTGGCTCAAGCATAGCATTCGTGCCGCGCTCCGACCAGGGGCGGGACCGTCTCTCCAGCGCACATGGAAGGAGAAGACAAGGCGTGGCTGCTTACGTGGCACTGGCGATCGGCATCAGGTCCGGGCTCGGCGGCCGTGACATCAATCTCTGGTTTCTTTCCTCCGCTCCACGACGACGATGCGCTTGCACGACGATACCTAGCGCACCCTGCGGGCCACTCCCCGCCACGAACGACAATCCGAGGCCCAATTTCTCTGGTGCATTTCTACTCCAGACATCGCCCTGCTCGTTCTCATAACTCGGGCCGGCAGTGCGTCCAGGACTATGGTCGAATGCCACTCCCCGTGCTCGTCAGCTTTCTTGCTCCACCCGCTTTGCGCCCGCCGCCGCCCGCCGTTGCTAAGCCGTTGCTGCGCTGCATCTACAAGTTTGCCACCCCCCCACGGCTCTTCCTTCGCCTTAGAAATCCAGCCCTCGGGCCCGGTCCATATATCCCCTGGTGTGTAGCTCCGGTCGCGCGTTCGCCTCGCGGACCGGCTCTTGCGCGACACGTCAACGACACTGGCCCGCGCTTTTGCTTCCTTGCCGCCAGTATCTTGGCGCCCCACGACAATTGTACTTAACGCGCTGAATCTACGGATCCTCTAGTTTGTCGTCCACTCAACGTGCACTTACCAGCAAGCTCTTCCGCACTGAGCTGTCCCCCGCGCATGACTGTGTTTTCGGCAACGGTCATTTGATGCTTGTCATATCTATTCGACAACATGCTGGAATGCCCTGTCGTCTTACCAATCAAAGAAATATTATCGAGTTAGGCATGCACGAGTCCAAACACATGTCCAGTCGGCGATAGATTCAATCGCTGGTCCACTGCAAGTCCAGGAATGACCCACGGATAACTATCTGCCGTAGACCGCCACACCCTTTCAGTAGTTCTGCCTGGAGCTCATCCGGCGCTTGGAAGACGGCTCAATCCCACTCTTCCCGTTTGCCCCCCGGGAAGGACAGCCCTTGAGGACCAAATATGGACACGGAGACTTTCGAGAGTGGGCGGAAGGATGGTCGATAGGCTGGCGAGGAAGTGAGGGGCCTGGAGAACGGTGTTGATAGGATCAAGGCCGCAGATAACAGGACAGAATTCACCTCGCTTGGCCGAGAATCACCGCTGGACTCTTTGACACGGAAATCGAGGGTGCGCAGGTTCGGGAAGAAGGCAAGGATCCCGGACCAAAGGGAGTAATTGCCATTATCCGACTGCAATGCTACGTTAGTTATCGTGGGCGGAATATACCTCTCGATGCGCTGGAGCGTAAACAGCAGTCTCCCGGCAGCTTCATTCCAAATCTTCAGTTTGTTCACAAATGGTGTGCATGGGAGAACTGCAGGCAACACTTTGCAGGCTGTGGTCAGCTCTCGCGCACACACGGAAGCACACAAGCTGGCTCGCTCGCGGCCATCTCTGTGTTATAAGGCCCATCGATGACCTGAACGCACAGCTGTTCGAGTCCCGGGAAGGTGCGCGGCAGCTGCTCGATGCCAGAGTGGGTTAACACCAATGAATTCTGGATCCGCAATACAAGATGTCGCACCCGGGAACCACGACATCTTCTGCGCGACAACCTGGCAAGGCTGAGCAGACGCTTGTCAATGCACCAAGTGAACTTGACCAGCATGGCAAGATCGAGGATGTGAATCCATGACCAGAGATCCCCTTCTGGCTCCGAATCTCCAATCGCAAATCGGAAAACCAACTCAGAGACGGGAAGTCGGATATCGAGTGCACAGGAAGCTGCAGGAAACGCACCAGCGGCACCACTCTTCCACCACATCATTTCTCTCGTCCCGGCCGCCTCGCTCACTCCTGAACTAGGCTTGACGGAGCAACGCCCTTGCACGAACAGTATATACCACCAGCCACGGTATGGCTTGCCAAAGCGGTCCCCACCCGGGCCGTCGCGGGTCAGGAGAACATCTGTCCAATGAGCCCAGGACCCTGCGCGGAGCGGAGCTAGCGGGAACGACCCGAGCGAGTCGAGCGGGGCATCAGGACGGTGCAGGCCTTCGCGTTGAGGGTTAGGGTCACGCTGGCAGACGGCCTTCTTCGCGGTGGGTCCCTCCGCTGTGTCGGCTGTGCGTGCGCGGGACTTATCTGCGGAGGTGTAGCTGAGCAAGCGGCACCACCCCGGCGTGCCCGGCCACCAGTCGACGCCCGGCGTTCCGGGGGCGTATAATGTCCCGCGCCGGCGTTCCACGAGGTTGCGGAGGCGTATAATGTCCTGCGGGACGCGGTACTAGGTGTGCCGCATACGGTTGATTTCGTGTGCTTCACAGAACTGAGGAGACTGTGACAGACAGCGCATATGACAACACGCTTCCGTGTGAGAAGTGGACGCACTTGAAGGCACTGATAACTTGGAGGATTCCGATTCAATAGTTTACAGAATATTTTCCACTAGAAGGACTACCAATCATTGTCATATTTCCCTGGGGCGCCCGCTGAGCGGCGCTCCGCAAGCATTTTATCCACGCGCTCCCAGAACCCCGCACTAGTCGCGCCGCCTGTCCACTCATCCTGCCACTCCGGCCAGCCGATCCCCTGGTGGACCAGGAGGCACGCAGGGTGCTCTATGAGGCGTTCGTCGGCGGCACCTTCCCAACGCTGGTAGGACAGGACGAATACATTCAACCGCCGATGTGGATCCGACAGCACGTCCAGCAACATGTCGAGCGGTGGGGCGTCCCTCTGCAGAATGTCGTGGTACCACTCCTTTGTATCGATGGCGAGATGCGTCAGCGCACGAAGCGCCAGAAGCGGCGGCCAGACTTGCGGCCAGCGGTGGTAGAACGACAGGTGGAGGTGTGTGATGCGCGAGCGCGGAGAGGTCGGGAGATGCGGTCATCATGTAGAGCGAGAGCAGGTTCGTGGTGAGCCGCCGGAGGTTGGGCAGAGTTCGAGCACGTCTGCCGTGCTAAATATGAGACCACGCGGTAGAATGACAACATCTTGGAGGTGGGGGCAGGAGTTCAGAATACTGTTAGTCTCAGACGAGGAGAGCTCTCCGTCGAGGCGCAGACCGGTCGACTGCGCGATGAATGCCTGCCGGCGGGGGTCTTCGATGAGCGCCCTGAAGGCAGACGGCGACAAGACTGGGAATGGTGTATTGAGAGTCGGACCAGCCTCCGGATCCGAAGACTCAAGGCGTTGTACAGCAGCGGCTCCACACTGGCGGCCACAGCTGGTCAGCGAGAGAAACGGACCAAAGTACGCATTGCCGGACGCACCACTCTTTCACCCACCACGCTACGCGCATCAACACTGGGATGCCCCCTGGCCGCTGCAGCGCCGCCTCGCGGAAGATGTGCAGCTCGATCTCGCGGGGGAAGGGCGGGTCGTCCATGAGAGTGAGAAGCAAGATCCGGGGATGAGTCAGCTGGCGACCGCGGGAATCAATCAACTGGAAGCGCCAGTGTTCCGCAAAATGCTGTATAACATCGCTGCAAGTGCCTACCAGCGAAAGACGGCGCCGATGCGGGACAACGCTGTTGGCAGCCAGATGCCAGCGCATAGTGGACGGCGCAGAGGATCGGTCGAATAACGGCGACTGCACCATTCTTGGGGGAAAATTGGCAATATGTTGATTAGTAGTGCACGGATACAACAACGTCTATTACACTGACAATGGGTGAGCCCCAATTACTAGTATCAAGTGCACAACACACCTTGTCCCTCTGCACACGACGACAACCATGAGACCCGCCGAGGCGGGTCAAGGAAGATAAAAAATTGTGCCACGACGACGGACAAATACGATGTACAAGGAGCCGCGTGCGCTGGCGCCCACCCGCCAGCCACATTTTATTTTTGAAGCGCCTGATCCCATGTCCATCCTGCCTCGAAAGCAGGCTGTTCCTTCCTCGACACCAGCGCGGGCCACCGAGGGCAGAATCGCAAGGTCGGCTCAGACCGTGGGGGGAAAGTGGGCGGAAAAGAAGGGCGATGACCCGTGTTTGGCGGGCGGCGCACGGACCATGCTGATGCACGTGCACAGGGAGCCATCAAATTCATGTCCGTGGACACGTTGGCCGTGAAGGTTTTTGGGCACCATTGTAGTCCTTTGAGCGCAGAATGCTGCACTGTGTCCTCCGATACCCGACTGTATTAAGCTGGAGAAGGAGCTTGAGAGCAAGACCTGTCTTTCAAGTTGAGCGCAGTGGCTTGGCATCCCAGTCGGCTGTCACACGCTCAGTGGCGCTCTCACGCGGCAACCATTTCTCTCCTAACAACCGTGTTGCCCAACGAGCTCCTCCTCGGCGTCTTCCCGGCGAGCGTCAAGGGATGACCTGCACAATGTCGCCCGTGCATCCCTGGCGCTTCTGCTCTTTGGCTCGCACACTCCTACTCACCAACCTCTCGTTCCTGCCCTATACCTTTGACGCCGGAGCAAACGCAGCAGTTGGAGGATAAACTGGGACTGTTTGGGTCGAATAGCGTGGCGCCGTCACGTCAAGTGCATCTCTGTCAACCTGCTTAGCTGCTACTCTGGGTATTCGTACAAATTCAGCGATGTCAGGTTCAGCGACGAGGACGAGATTCATTCTATGCTCCATAGCGTACTCACGACACTCCCCCGCCGGCAATCTTCGCTACTTCAAGGCTGAACAGATAGAATTCACGACCGCGGCGCTTGGTGCGCTCGCCCAGCTACAATCACTCGAGACATTGTTCCTCATCAACTGTGCAATCCCCCCTTCTCTCGCCAGCTCTATGTTCCTCCAGAAAATATCCATCAGCAGCTTGATACTCGCCGACTGCAGCGAACCGAGCTCCTGGCTGAACCTTGTAGCCTCAGCGCTTTCGCGCTGCAGATCTGATGGGAAGCAGCAGCGCCAAGTCTGGCATTACACTGCCAGGGCGGAATTGCCGTACTCCGATATTCCTGAATACCACCCACCTCACAATTAGTATCAGAGGCTCGGAGACCAGTGAACTCGCCACCTTGCTCAACACCGCCTTTCCTAGGCTGGAGTCCCTGATACTCACGACCGACAACATTCCCTCCCGGTAGCCCCTCCGGACCGCGATTTGCCATGCACATTCCGTACTTTGACACAGTTACAAGCCACGCTTGAGCTGGCATTGCTTATCCTTCCGCTGGCCAACATTGACAAGCTCACGCTACTGGGACCCGATCGCCAGCCCTGCTGCTCGCCCTTGCTGCCCTTCCCTACGCGCGCACTTGGAGCAGTCACGGATCTGGCGCTTGCAGTGCTAGAGGGGTGCGACACTAGCAGCAAGCTGGCATCCATAGCCAGCTACTTCCCTGCATTGGATCTTTTGAATGTCCACCTCGCATTTCACTATGGAGACGAATATGTACACTCGGTGGGTGCCTGCGATATCGACAAGTACAGTATGAGGGGTGACGAAATCAGTGGGACTGGGACTGGGCCACCCCAAACCAGTCCTACTGATCGTGAGTCCAATCCCACTGATCAGCCCTTAAGCAAGGGTGATCAGTAGGGATTGATCACTCGACGCATGCTTCCTATGACCTCGGGAATCAGCTCAGGATCAATTCACGAGCTGCGCAGCAAGCCTCCGCGGCAGCGTGGGGTCCGGGTGGAAAACCCCGGCCGCGCCGTAACTACGTGATAAAAAGCTCCAGAGCACCTAGGAAAGTGAGAGAGGGGAGGAGGGAAGAGAAGAGTGCTCGCAGCAGCCTTCCCTGCGGCGAGCAGAGGCCCCGGCAGGGTGGGTCCAGGGCAAGGCCCTCGTCCTCTCTATCGTTAACGTTTTCTTGTTTGCTGAGGCTCTCCAAATCCCCGTTAGATCCAACGACAACTGGGAAGGGAGCCTAACCCGGGAGCATTGCGCTGCTCGGAACGCTCGCATGTCCCACGACAACAACTCGGACTACGGAAGCACATTCGTAGAGCAGCTTTGAGCTGATTAATCTCACAAAACTATGGATTGCACGCGCTAATGTCCTCCCCCTTACACTTCATGTGACAGCCTTTCTTGATTCCACGGCGCAGACATTACTCCCGCTGGTATCTCGCTGGCGAGACGTCTCACTAAGCGTGCCAATGGAGACGCTGGCCCAGCTGTTTTTGGCTGGATCACAATTTCCAATGCTACAGCGTCTTTCGATTGCGGCGTCCGAGGGTGACTGGGAGTTGAAACGACTGCGAATCCTGGACCACCGGAACTGCGATCCCTACAAATACTCTCAGTGGAGATCATTGCGCTGCATCCCTCCAAGGCGCCATTTGCACAGCTAACAACCTTGTACTTCAAACGCCTCGCTGGAGTCTCTGCTGCCTTGGACATCTTGAAGCACAGCAGCAGCCTTCAACAATTCTAGCCTGGTAATCACAATGGCTTTGTCTAGGAAAATTGTCTGACTTTGACCTCAGAGCGACGAACATCTAGTATGTAGTGCTTTTGAAGTTTTCTCGTTTAACCCTCCAAAGGCGCCGGCAATTATGACATGTAGATCACGCTTATCGAGATGGATTTCTGTATGGACGGCGCCATCCTTTCCCATTCGAAACTTCTGCTAAGCGTCAAACAGGACACCCCGACATACTCAAAATACGCGGAGATTATTGCCAGTGCGTCTACTTAACCTGCTGCTTGTACCCCACTGACCGCGCCCAGCATTGTGCGTCTGCGTCGAGCAGACCTCATCAGAGTCATCTGCCTCCATGGATGACTTCCCGCACGCATTTATCCAGGCGGTGGAAGCGTATTTCGCCCCAAATTCCGCTGCACGCACCTCTGTCAACAAAGAGACTGCCAAACTGTCCCGTATGATTACCGGGAGATGCAGGACACGACGTCGGACTGTCCGTCCCGGCGCCCGGCCACCGCCAAGCTGATACATATAATATGTAGCACTTCCGGAGGACTTTTGAGCATCTTTGGGCTGTCCCAGCCTGCGGCTTGTGCTTCCCATCACCATCATGATCAGTCGTAAATCATGATCAGACACGGTCACGTGAGGCCAGGCTGGGTAATGCAGGGCAACAGGGGCTGCTGTGCTGGTGGTGGATTTGGGAGAAGGAAATAGGGTGTGTGGTTTCCACGTGCCCGGGGCTCGCTGCCGGGCAGCCGGGTGACGCGTTTGGGGTGGGGCTGCGGGGCGCAATGAGCAGGGCGGTCAGAGCAAGGTGCAAGCAAAGCGGACGCGCATGGCGCACAGTGCGGGCTGGGTCTGGTGGGGGCCGCTCTGGCTTCCAGGGTGTTGCGCACTGCGAGAGGAAGAGGTACAGCGTCATGGAGTTGTTGGGACGACGCAGAGGATATCGATAAGGAGGGCAATGATGGCAGGGGGGGGGCGTGGGTGGGGAGGGCGTCCAGTTTTTGTCTCTTTGCTGTCAGGGAATATCTTTTTGCTGCCAGGAAATAGCTTTCAAGTTTCGCTGTGAGGGAATTGCTTCTCGTGTTGATGCTGCCAGAGCCCGCGGTCCAGCATGGATGAGGAGGATTGCTAGCCAGCTACACAGGTGATTCCTTGGTCGCTGAGCAGGAACGACTTCAAGTTCGGAATAATGCTCAGTTTGCAGCTGCCACGCGCCACACCGGCGCGATTCCCCTCCTCCCCCGCTCCTGTCCTCACCGCCTCTCCAGCACTCATTGAGTCTAATGTCCCGACCGCGACTTAGCATTTAAGTCTTCCTTTGGCTCAGCTGAACAGGTAACAAGAACTCACAGTTGGCAGTACTCAGTTACCACGCCGTATGCTCTGAGCCGACCACGACCCATGTCACTGGCTCATCCTGCATATCCTGTACACACAGGTTGTGCGTCGTCGTGGTCCCGCTCGTGGGTGTGGTTGTGGGTGTTGCACATGGTGGGTGGCGGAAAACAGGGCCGGCCGGTGTGACAGGCGTGACTCGGACCGGAAAAGAGCAGTCCACCGGCGCTGAGCTCAGGCCCCGCTGGCCAGCACGCGGTGCGCCGACAGGACATACATGTGCGTCTCTCCATCCTGTTATCTGTGCCGTACTCATCGTCGCTAGGCGTTCCTCGGCACCCATCCCGGCACTGTGCCTCGTGCCCAGGGCGGCCCCGGTGCCCCTGGACGTGGCCGCCTGCAGCTGTCGGCAGTCCTTGCTGGCTGACTGGACACCGCTGCGGCTGAGCGCCTGCCTGTGCCCTGCTCCTCCCGTCCAAGCCTGCTCTATTTCTTGTCATTGTTGTCCACTTTGTTTCGCATTTGTTCTTAATCGTCAATTACTCACCACCATTGGGAGCCGATCCGCCATCAATCACCCTCCTCGCTATCGACCGCTTTCCTGCTTCCGTGCTCTGCTTTTGCATTCTGTCACTTTGCGCCGCCTCCACTACCAGTACCAACAATACCTCTATTCACACACACACACACACACACAC